AATATCAAGGTAGGAAGAAGACTTATCAACAAAATGTACTATGCGGATGACAGAGCTATGCTTGCTGAAAGTGAGGAGAGATTAAATCCTTGCTGCAGAAGATCAAGGACTATAGCCTTCAATATGGATTACATCTCAACATCAAGAAGACAAAAGAAAAAAATACACTGATGGACCTATAAGCAACATCATGAAGATGGAGAAAAGATTGAAATTGTCATGGATTTAATCTTTCTTGTATTCACAATCAATACTTTTGTTTCCAGTGGCCAGGAGTTCAGGAGATGTATAGTATTTGGAAAGTTCAATGTCAGAGACCTCTCCAAGTTACTGAGGAACATTAGTGTCAGTTTGAAGACCAACGTGTGCCTGATTCATGCCATGGCCTTTACAATCGCTTGCTATGCTTTTGACAGCTGTACAATGAATAAGGGTGATAGAAGAAGAATTGAGGCCTTTGACTTGCGGTGGTGGAGAAGAGCAGTGAATATCCCATTAAATGTCAAAAGAACAAACATATATGTCATTGAAAAAGTGCAGCCAAAGTGCTCCTTGTGGAAAAAGATGACCAAGTTTTGTCTCATACTTTGAATGTGTTGTTAGGAGAAACTGTTCCTTGGAAAGATGGAGGGTCAGTGCAGGAGAAGGAAGGATGCCTTCAATGAGATGGACTGACAAGGTGTGAGCAGTGATGGGCTCAAGTGTGTCAGAGACTTCGAGGATGGCACATGATCTGTTGTTCTGATTGGTTGTTCATAGAGTCGCTATGAGACACACTCGACAGCATCTGACAATAGCAACAAAGGCAATCTAAACCACCATGGCTAGGAGCAGGTATATTTAGTCTTTAAATTTACATTCTTGTTCTTTTACATTTGGTTATAATAAACATTTAAACTTTTGAAAGGTAAACTAGTAAATCCAGGGGCTCTATTTAAAAAAAAATCCAAATCTTTTTGATGCATGTGCATAGTTTGATGAAATTAGTAAAGATTTAGTGTTATTTCTATGGGTTACTCAGGTCAAATTTTTTAAGTTCTCAAAATAAAACACATATTTTATTAAAAAATTTGCTGGTATCTGAAATGTCCTTGACTTAAAAGTTAGAGATGGCTCAAAATCCATGATTTTGGATTATTTTCTGGGAGCAGGTGGTTATTTTCTTTGGAAGATAGAGTATAATAATCATGGATTCGTTTGTTGTTGTTATGTGCCGTCGAGTGAAATACGACTCATAGAGACCTTCTAAACAGTATATCTGAATCTAGTCAACCAGCCTCATCAGTTCTGACTACTTGAGCCCATTGCTGCCGTCACTATGTGAATCCACCTCATTGAGGGTCTTCCTCTCTTTCTCTGACCTCCTACCTTTCCAAGAAGATCCCTTTCTGAGTAATAGCCTCTTACAGCAACATACCCAAAGTATGTGAATTGAAGCTTTACTATTCTTACTTTTAAGGAACACAGTCTAGACCTTCTCCAAGACATATCTTTTTGTACTTTTGACACTCTATGGGATATCCAGTACTCTTCTCCTATACCACAATTCAAAGGCATCAATTCATCTTCTGTCATCCTTATTCATTATTCAACTCTCAGCTGCACAATATGTGCTTGAAAATACCAAGGTCTGAGTTGGGTACACCTGAGTACTCAAACTAACATCATTGTTGATCAGTAATTTGGAGAGGTCCCTATCTTCAGACTTATCCAGGACAAGACCTTTCCTAATCTCTTGCTGATGCCAACTGTATTGACTGTTGAAACAAGTTAGATGAAATTGCTAACAGTTTCAATTCCCACCCCCATCTAGCATGATGTTATCTACCAGTCCAAAGGTGAAAATTTTTATTTTCTAGAAGTTGAGATGAAATCCATATTGAAGACTGTATTGTTTGATCTTCTACAGAAAGTAATTCAAGTCCTCACTTTCAGCAAAATAAGGTTTTTCAAATGCATAATGAAGGTTATAGATAAGTTTTCCTCTGATCTTGATTCCACATTCTTCTTTATATAACCAAGCTATGTTGCAGACCGAGGGTCCCAAAGAATGGAATAATTTTATAATTATTTATAATGAGACAAACAGCCAGGAATGAGATAGAGCAGAGAGCATAAAACAGGAGGCCAGCAGTTCTGGACTGAAGACCCCAAGCCAAGCTTCTCTGTGTCCTTATTGAAAATTATCAGGAAGTAAATCGCAAAGAGAAGTCAATGCAAATGAAGCCAAGCTCTTTCTATTGAAAACCTTCTGATTGACTCAAGAAGGAGGGATTCACAAATGCAAGAATTTGGTTTACCCTTA